TCCTGGAACATGCATATTATATTTTTTCTTTTTTCATTGAAATACGAAATATACACTTAAACTCNTATTAGTCTCTATTCTCGCTGCTCGATCTTAACAACGTATGTCGTTCTTAGATACACGCGAGGTCGACTCGATAACGTTGAGCACCTTAGCCAGAGGAGGGAGTATCTAACGTTAAAAGTTTGGCCTGCTGCCATTTGACCCTACCGTGGGTGCCAGCCGAAAGACTCATTGATTATGTGGTAAAGGGTAGTGCGGAATTTCGCGAATCGGAAGGTATTTCGGCCAAAGATGGACCGCGTGGAAATCTGTTCAGCCGAGTTAAAGAGACGGAGTGAATTCGCGAAACTTTTTAGGACACTTTGAAACTCTCTTAATCCCACGACAGTTCCATTTTCCATAGAATTTCAATCGAATGCCGAGAGAGAGGGAAAGATACAGAATATATCGTAAATTTTTAAAACAATTTCGAACGATTATCTTAAAATTTCGTTCGAATTTTTCCGTAAGTAAGCAGCAATTTTTTTTTTCTTTCTTTTTTCCATTCTCTATGGGAACTTTATCAACGGCCCTCGAAAATGTGTAATAAAACGACAAATCGTCGGTAGTTTTGCCCGCGCTGTTATATACCCTAATAAAAATCCATACGATGAAACATTTTTATCGCGAGAGTGGAGAACGCAGCCATGACTGCGATTATATTCTAATAAAAATCCATTTCGGGCCGAGGTTTTTATCGCGACCGTACCGACACTTCGTTTGTTCGAATTTATGCACTAATAAAACGGTCCTGTCCTCGTCGATGTGTTACGTTATCCCGAAAGGGATAAATTGCCTTTGGAATCGATTGTTAATTTGTATTTCGTATTTTTTTTTTTTTTCTCTCTCTCTCTATCTAGAAACAATGACACGCGAGGGACCAAAGGTTTTCGCGTGTCCGACTCGTTTAAACCTCAAACGAGATCTTTTCGCGCTCGAATCTCTGGTTGTACAAGATTTAATTGGAGATTTCATTCGTAAAATGCGAAGAGACGAGTATACAGAGCCGGACAAAAGTATTGGCATTGCTGTAATTTTTTTCTTTGCAACGTAGGATTTTTCCCTCTAATTTTTTATCGAAAATATAATTTTAGAATTCAAGTGTAAAATATTAAACTGTACGATATTATTTGTAATGCAAAATAGATTGAAATATTTCGAGATAAAATTCTAAAAATTTATATATTTTGCATAAATTTAGAATTTACAAAATATTATTATATCTAATGCTTAAATCAAATATTATTTTACGTTTAAGTAAAATATTATTTCCTATTTACATTTGGTTTCGAAAATAGGATATACAATTTATGCACATTTGAAATATTATATTTCATTATGTAAATATTATTTCAAAACTCTATTTCTTTTATAAAATAGTATCTATCTGTAGTGATATTTAGTTTCTCTAAAAATTAGCCCTTTATTAAATAATTTTAGACTCTAGAATTACATTTTGACAAAATGTTGGAGGAAAAAATTCTCAGAATAGAGATTTACGAAGAACGTCACTAGCAGAGTATACGTATATTTTTGTTCGGTACTTTATGAATATTAAACTCGTAAAATTTGAAGTGATATTTTTTCTGCGGAGAATTATCCATATTTTATTTGTCTAAATCCTTTTAAAATGGCTGAGTTATTATTTTTTCGCGAAAGAGTTTCGTATCTCCCGCGATTTCTGACTAATAATTTCGAATTTCAAAAGCTGAATAAATAAAATATGGATATTTCTCGAATTCGTACGTCAATCTTTTCACGTTTTGAATGAATGAATTTTTTTTTTTTTTAAATCTTAATGGAATCGACCGGATGTATGGTTTCTTCGTTTCGAATCATTCAAAGATTTAACTTTTATCCTCATGGAAGGACGAAAAGAAGTTCGCAAATTACTTTCAGTCTGCTTTTCATCGTAGGTGTTCATCGTCCATGAAAAACGGAGTTATTGCGTCATGTGAGTTATGAAAGGGGAGCGAGATGTGGTTTTTTTTAAACGACGAACGTCTCGATACTATTTAATATTTTTCCAACTGTTCCAATGGTTCTGAACGAAAAATGAAAAATACGTTTCGCGTATTTAAATGTCATGTCGTTAATTGTAAGACACGTCATTAAAATTCACTTAACTTGTTTCGATAAAATGCGAGGAGAAATCGATAATCGAATGGAACGTTATTTATTTATTTATTTTTTTCTTAATTTTGATAAACAAGGATAAAGACCGATCAATCACAAGTAAAAGAAGATTAGATAAGTGTAAGAATTTATATAATCAAGTGAAATGGTTATCACTGAAAGACACGCGACTCATAGTCAGCTTATAATAATAATAATAATAATAATAATATCCAGTAAGATAAACTTCAAGCAGGAATAATTTCTAGCAAGCGTGATGATGATTCATATTGCGCACGTGATTGACCTTTTAATTGAAATGCCAATCGTCAATTGAACCACACCATAACCTAAACTGCACAATTCCATCAAAGTTAATTATTTGGTTTTTATTAAACACTTAACAATATACATTTTTCAAGAAATGGATTTAATTAACGAGTATCTCAATTGGAAGATTGAGAATCATGAAATTCACTGTTACTATTCCAATTTAAAATCTATTAAAATAAGAGAATATAAAACAAGGAAAGTTATTTCAAGCTTCGTATAAAAACTTCGTATAATTAATTTCTCTAAAATGTTTTGTACATTGATCAATATCACTGTGATCCCGCCAATTGTCTCAATTCGGAGGAAAAGAAATAAAAGGAGCGAGTAAAAAGCGGAAAGAAAAAGTAGACACGATCAATCGGACAGAGTTTCTTTGAGATCATTCCCGGAAGGATTTCCCTCCTTTCGTCTTTCTAGCTCGAGGGAAAACAGTCGATTTCGTGTACACGTCGACTAAGTGATCCGCAAACTTTCAACTCACACCCCTCTTACTTTATTTCTGGGATACAAGACATATTCTTCCTTCACGCTTCGTAAAGAGATGTGGTCGATGATAGTTCCGATTGCTTGGCGGAAAGCCGCTCTAAGGGGTCAACAATGGCGGCAACAATGGCGGCCGTAAGAAATTAATCCAATTAATTCTTATCTCGATCATTTTTTTTTTTTTTAATGATATCGCAAGCAATCTAGGTCAACGAAGTTCAGCAAAATATTTTTTTCGGTTTTCTAGAAAAATTTTTTCGTCCAAAAATTTATTTTCGTTTGAATAAAGGATTACAAACTATCATTTCAGAAAACTTTATTAAAAATACTGGTATCATTTTTTTTTATTTATAATTGAATTGTAAAGGAAAGGCAATCTTTTTAGTGTATAATCAAAATTCATATGTAGAAAAGAAGAAAAATAATTACTCATTATATGAAAAGATCGAGAATCATTGTTTCTCAAGATTTTAAAATATCTATCCAAACTCTTTCCTATCGAATTTTTAATACACAAATCGCTTATTGAAAAATCACTTCTACGTTTAAATATATCGAATCTCGTAACACGTAATGTTATCTACACAATACTTATTTACATATCAGCCGCGTAAAATGCTAATATCGTGCATGCCTCGAAGTCATAGCGTACACAAGCGATTTCTGTATTCCGCAAACTTCTCGAATATACCGTCTAATATTTTTCTCTTTTTCTTTCTCTCGGCCGAAACACCATAGATAGATTTCGGGGAATCAATGGTTCGAGGAATTTCGAAAATTCACCGCGAGATACGGCCGCGAGCCGTGTAATTTATTCCTCGCTAAATTATTACGAAAATGCGAGGTAACACGGTTAACAATAAAAGTACGAAATACGTCAAAATGACGGGTTTCCAATTTTTCAATGTTCTCACAATTACGAGAAATATACGGGTGGTTTACCCGCGAAATTAATTTGATTTTTATCGAGATAGAAACATCATCGTACGTACGTATACCCATATCAACCATTTCCATTAATAATTCCATCTTATATCCAACCGGGTGAAATCGATTTTGCAGTTTCATTTATTATTAAATTTTCAATTTGATTTAGGAAGATTTGATAAAAGAAATTATATACTCACTTGATCACTTTCCTCTCGCTAGTCATGCTACAATATCTCTGCACGAAGTTTTGCTGACAACCGAAGATGGACAGGCTCATGAATAATTGACCCAGAGTTGCCGACAGAGTCGTCACTCTAAGTGTGGGATCGAAATTCATGCTGAAACCAGAGATCGGTTCGATTAATTTGCGAGGAATTGATCTATAATCTTCTTGTTTTTCAAAATTTTACGAAATTAATGAAAATGCTTGGGAAATGTTTTTTTTTTTTTTTTTTTTTAA